TGCTTCGATGGGTGTCATTTTTATACTGCGATGATAATGATTATTATATCCTTGAACTAATTTATCTAAAATATCTATCCATTTGTGATTACCTTGATGAGTGAAAATTTTCCACATCTTTTCTTTGAGAGTTCTATTGAACCTTTCTATGATAGAAGCTTTCTTGTCAGAGTAGGTTGAAAAGTGATGGATATCTAAACTTTTAAAAAGAACCTTCATTTCTTTGTTGTAATATTCTTTTCCATTATCAGTCTGCATTTTTTGAGGTTTTCTCTCTTTGAAAATAGTCTCCAAAGCGGCTGCAGTTTCTTTTCCAGTTTTAGATTTCAGAGGAACAACCCACGCATACTTGCTGAAACAATCTATAACTGTCAGGAGATATCTAAAATCATCATTTTCAGCCGCATATGGAATCATTTCAACAAGATCAGATTGCCACTGTTCATCAATGTTGTGAATATAAACTCTTTCGGTTTGATAGTTCTTTCTTGCGGGTTTGTGAAGAGTGTAAACATCTTGCTCATTGAGAAATTGTTTCACTTCTTTGATTGGTCTTTTGGTTTTTCTTTGCAGTTCGTTGATACCACAGAACCCAGTTTCAGGATTGTAAAACGCTTCCTCGAGAATTGCTTTTGATTTTATAGACGACTTGACGGAGCCTCCAATTTTCGAGCTTGGAGCTATTTTACATTTAGTTGTACCACAGTTTCCACATGTTCCTTTGATCATTTGTTTATTATTTTTGGACATTAAATGTATAATGTTTGAAGTGATTGTATGCGTTTTGCATTTTAGACAGTATATTTCGATGTTCATTTAGAAATGGAAAATGTAAGCGAACGAAATTTTTGTGTGGGAGGGAAGAGGGCGGTGAATGAAAACTACTGATAACAATTCGATTGACTGCTTAATTACAACTTACTTCCCACGCTCTTGTCGGGAAAGGACAATGGCTTATCGGGGGGGCATGCTTTCTTTCCGTTTTTGTTTGACAATTTTTTTTCCGTTTTGCCGACCGAGTTTTTCTTGCATATTTTATACATCTAATTAACTTCATTTCAGAAGAATGAGTGGTGTTATAAGTGATCCTTCGATTGCCGCTCAGTTGACTCCATTAGAACATGCTGTTCCTAGAAGTGCTAGTCAGAACGAAGACGATTGGTCAGCCCAACAAGCACAAGAATTTCATCGAAGAACAGGTGAAGCAAATCGAATTGAAGCCATGGACATCAAGGTGTGTTTGTTGTTCGAAAATACTTTTTTTTGTTTTCTTTTGTTTCAGATTGACAAACAAGCCGGGGTGGTCCGGAAACTTATAACAGCGAGAAATGCGGAAGTAGATTTAATAAATGCACGTAGAAGACGAAATGATGATAAAATTGAGACTCGAAAAGAAAGAAAAAGAATTTCTAGAGCGATCAGAAAACGAAAACGGGAAGAAGAGGATCAAAGGGACACAGAAGTGGAATCTTTTAAACGAAGAAAAATGGAAACGGATCAAACCTAAAAACTACTTATTCTCGTTGTATTGGTAAACTATCTCTCATAATAAAGTTTTTGATTTGTAATTTTTCTGATAAATGTAATAAATCTACATTGGTCAATTGGTCAAAGGCTTCAAATCATTGTTCAACATTTAATAAAAACGAAATAATGGTAATGAATTGATAACAATGTCGTTGTCGTACAGAGCATTTTCCCTCCGATCACTGATGTTTCACCGTTTTTTCCCTTCCCTCCGATGACTGATTTTTTTCACTCCGACGACCGATTTTTTTTGCATATTTTTAATGAGGAAATTTTTTCGCTCCGACGGTCGACTTTTTCTTGCATATTTCACCTTCATTTGCATATTTTCGCCTTCATTAACTGGATAATCGCAGATATCGTGAATCGCAGATATCGTGAATCGCAGATATCGTGTGGGGGTTGAACTCGGGCGTTGTGATTATCAGACAGTCACTCTACCATTCTGATATCAGACCAAATTTGATAAGAGAGTTGAAAAAGTGTTTAAGTGTAAAGAATTTGTTATCAGTTGGGGTGAAAATTGACTGTTTTGAGAGGTTGAAAAAAGTGGTATTATTTTCGTACTCGGAGTACGATTTTCGTGCTCGCCTAAAATGGGTGTTTTTCAGCTAATTGTCTTGTTAATTTAAGGAAACAGAAGAGAAAGTGTGGAAATATGGGTGAAAATGGAGATTTCAAAAAATGGTGAAAAACGGAAACGGTACTATAATCCTCCATTACTATACTACTCATGTCTATGAAATTTTGGATTCTTTCAAAAGGTACATAAAATTATAATATAATTTCAGACGACGGATTCTTCGTCTTCTACTTGTCTTGCGTTGCCATGAGTCCAGAAGGTAATTTTATAGGACGATCCCAGACAAAAAAGTGTTTTTTTTTTTCAATTTCAGATTGGGAGGAATTAATATCAACTAGAAACGAAAGCCAAGCGAAAAATGATCAATATTTCGATTCGGAAAAAATCGAATTCCAAGTGAAGAGTGAGTCGAGCCAATATGTTCGGTGTGTAATATGTGTTTCAGGTGATGTATCTGTGACAGCTGACGAGCAAATCGGTTGGAAGAATTTGATGAAACTTTTTCAGGAAACATCAAAAATTTGTAGAATCGGTTGCCCATTTGACAAGCACAGTCTAGAGAGGTAACCTACCCGAAAAAAATTAACTGATCTGAATCATTTTTAGACATACAATTCAATCTCACTTCGGGATTTATCACCCGGAAAAATGCTATAAATGTCTTGGGAAGGTTCGGGATGATGCATGTGTCTGCAACGGTCCAAACACTAACCAGACCGGTCAAATGCGTCAAAATCGTCCCAATGCAAATCAACAATTCGATCAATAACCACGACAACAGAAACAGCAGCAGCATCAGCAACCACACCAACAACAGCAACAACAACAGCAGTATCAGCAACAACAACAACAGCAGCACTATTATCAAGATCAGTATGGAAACTGTTATAACTATTATCAACAGTGATTCAATTTTTGTCTTAAACATCTTGCGAAGTAAAATTTTATAACGAGCCTGGGTTCTGTTTTGCTTCATGCTTTACTATAAGCAAAAATAGCAAATAAAAAGAAGTAGGAAATCATCATTTGTCTTCCTAACGATCCTCTTAGCAACTCTTCTGTTGAAGCTTATCATTGTCAGAATATTCAATACTTGAGCAGGTGACTTTATTGATAGGTGTATCGTGAAAAAGCAAAAGAAACCGAAACAAAATGGTTCAGAGGGGGTGTCATTCTAATTTGAAGTCCACACCACAAAGGTAAAGAAATAACTTATTGGTGGTATCGAATACGGAGTTTCGGCGAACTCTAATTTGATAGTTCCCAAATCTTTATTATTGCGACGAATTGTGATTCCTCCCTCCGCGTCAAACGGTCGACATAGATTATCACTGAAATCAGAGCTAGAGAAAAAAGACTGTTCACAAAAAAATTCAACTTACTGCGTATAAAATCTCTTGGGTGGTGAAACGTTTGGTTTATCGATATCGCGTAGAGCTTCTTCTAAATCGATGAAATACCCGTATGCTTTTAGAAAGTCCATTCTGGGATTGCATCGATTAATCCAAGATTTCAAATATCGATTCAAGTCAATTTCACTGAACATGAAGCCTGCCAAATCAATGTGGACACAATCAAACAAAATTAAGTTATCAATAGACATCCAACTAACTGATGGAACTCCTACGATTTCGATATAGTCAGTTGCAATGATTGGATTTAGAAGCTTGATACTATTAGAAGCTATCCTCGTTGAAACACGGAGATAGTGATTCACTCTGCAGGTTTTGAGGGCAAGAGAAAGTTCATCGTCAACTACCTCTTCCCCCGAAAAAAAGAAGTTGTCAATAGATTGTTGACGTCTGTTAAGCCAGTTTAAAATCAATGAAACGCTGCCAATACAGTACTGGGGATGAATACAAATCGAATACAGTACACAGTTGAACGTTTGACACAAGAAGTCGGACCATATTTAAATCCAAGTAATTCTCATTCTTTCTATGTTATTCTCACATTCATAAAGCTCGTTTCTCTTCTCTAAATAAGCATTTCTTCCTTTCATGTAACTCAAATCTATTACATTAGAATTCTGCCTCAATAAGAACTTTTGACCGCCAGGATGAACCAACACTGCTGGCATGTAAGAAAAGTTTGCTCGAATTTGTATTTGGTTTCTTGGGATTGCTGCTCGTACACACTTCTGACTTACTCTTGAGAGTAGCGAAATCTCCAGGCTGTAAAGAACAAATATATGGTTGAATAGAGAGGCTAAAACTACGGAATGTTTTGTAAACTTAAAGTTCAATCCATCAATATAAAATCGAGAATAAATGTATATTTTAATACTAAAAAACATGAACAAAATAAAAGAAACCTTACAGTTCAATCGGATCCAGATGTCTTAAAAGATGACATCGTACAACAGATGGAAGTTTTAGAACAGGAAACCGTAAATTTTTAGGTTTTTGCATGCTAGCCTACTCACTTTTACGTGGATTCTAAAAGACGTTCTAACTAGATCAGAAGAGGGAAAGTCAATAGAATCTCACAAATCAATTGGATGCGTTCGATTGGACAAGGAACGCATCACAGCTGCGTTGCGTGTCGTGACACCTTCTCTTTGTTGTCTCATACCGTACTACTCGCACTACCTAGTCAAACAAGATTAGTGACGTTGTCTGTTGGAGTCGTGAAGGAGATAACTTCTGAAAAATGGGCGAACGAACACAACTGGGAGCAGAGAACTATGAAGCAGACTCAGTGCCGCTCAGTGCTAACTGAGCTATCATTGAAGCAGTTATAACGACAAGGGTTCATAAAAATTTTATACTTAACAGAAAAAAGAGCAAGATGAAAAGAGGGAAGAATATAATTAGTTAATTATCAACGAATGGTATGTGGGAACCGTGTGCAAAAAAAGATTGGGGGTGGAATGTATGAATTATGTTTGGGGAATGGGAGGGAGGAATTTATGAACCGATAAGTACCCGTGGTACACGAAAATTAGAGAAAAATAAAAAGAGATGTGTGGGGGAGGGACAATGGGAAGCAAATAGAGACACTATTAGGGTTAGAAATTACATATAAATTGGCAACTTTAAGCATAGTACAATAGAAAAACGATGAGGGGGGATTACTTTATAACAATAATCCAGTAGAAAGGGAGGAAAAACACGAAAAACGAGATGATTCAGTCATCCTTTGGTGTCTCCTCAATCTTCTCCTCGGTGGTCACAGATACGACGTCGTTTTCTTCTTGAACGTCTTCTTTTTCATCACAACCTTCAGAAGGATCCGCTTCGACATCCGATTGTTCTCCTTCAGAATCAGACGAATCAAAGTCCGAAGAATCTGTGAGTTGCACTGAGTCCGTGGCGGAAGAATCGCTCATCGATCGAGTATCTTCACAACCATCAGATGACATTGTCACACCCTCGAAGAACGACAATTTCTTTCTTGGAAATCTGGAATTTAGCACTGGCATCTCAGTGTCGACTTCATGATCATCTTCATTCTTCACGACATCATCTGTGATTCCAGCCTTTTCGAACAACTCCAGAAGAACGGGAAACATTTCGACAAACTCGTGCATGTCGTTGTCCTGAGTGGAATCACTCTGAAAATATAGATGATGTCCTATTTTTCGTTTTAAGATTGCTCACTGTGACATCTGTTTCATCGTTTTCCACATCACAATCCACGAGGGTTTCCCCAGTCAGCGCGTTCACATGATACGACAGCTGCAATGGAACTTCTTCCTCCTCAACGAGAGACTGATGATTCGTGATGATTGTAGTGACTGGAGGTGGCTGTCGTGGTGCCGGTGGTTCTTCGTCGGCTGGAATCTCGACGCATTCGCAACCAATTCCACCGTTTGGTTTGTCGAGAGCAGGTGTAACAGCTCGGTGACCAGTGATTTGATCCACTTGCACGGACTGAAAATATCTTTGTCATATATAACGAAAACAGATAGTTAACTTACAACTTGTTTGAAACCAGTTCCTCTGACTACCGCAACGGGCTTCTGACAACAAAATCTAACGACAACGGACACGTGAGGAGTGTGTGGAGAGCTGATAGTCACCGTCGATGTGTAGGAAATTTTGGCACGGCGCACTTTCGTTTCAACCTCGACGAACTGATCGATAGCTCCACGAAGCTTCCTTTCGAGTGACGGCTTCTTCGAATGAACAGTAGCGTACACGTAGTCCTTATGAACAGCGACACCTTTGAATGATGCGTAGTCTTCAATCATAGCAAGCAGCCATCGAAGAGAGACGACGACATCTCGCAATTCAATGCTCAGAAGAGTGTCACGGGAGCAATCCTCACTTGTTCGAATCATATACTTGAAGAGAGCTTCGAAATTGTCAACGGACCACCCATTCGTCAAGTAGTACATGTTCGGAGGACGTGTGTCCACTTTTTTTATGCACTGTTTCAAGAACAACATTTGCTGGTCTGAAAACGTTTATTTGTGAATTAAAAACCAATAATTATCGACTCACCAATAGGATGGTCGGGTCCCGGCTTGAAACAAGCACGATCGTTCCCGTTCTCATGGTCCGGTTCGCCAGTGATCTCGTTTCCGTCGTAGATGACGTTCTGAAACTTTCGAGACGTTGGAAATGAAGCGCAGCAACAAAAAAAAACATCTACCTTCAGATCAAAGTCGATTTCCTCTGTCATCCTTCGAATAACGTTCAAGTCGCCAGAAGAAAGCCTTCTGAAGCGACGACTGAGACTCGAAGTGTTTCGAGTGATCGTTGATGACGATGGCTTATCAATGGCAAAATGACAATCCTCGTCGTAAATTGTCGTCTCTTGAATGAGTGCAATTCCAGCGCCGTTCGGCAACTCTATCGGATTGACTGTTGCTTGCGCGACGATAGTACCGATTGGCTCGTCGGGATCGGAGAGGATGCGTTCGAAAGTGAGACGATTACAATCGCGGAGTTTCACTGGATTCGCTTTCTGAAATCTAGGAAATTGCTTATTTTTCCGCGGAAAAATAAGGTTTTCGAAGCGACTAGAACCTTTGAGAATATGCTCCTCCAGCGCGATCTCACTCGCGAAAACACTCCGTTCTTCTCGTTCTTCTCCATTTTACCTGCAAAATAATATGAACAATTGATTGAGAATTTGAATTGTGTGTGAATTGAATGAAATTGCTGGAAAAATGAAGAAAAATGAGAGAAAAAACGGAGCGCGAGAAGCCAAAAACAACGAAAAAAGAGGATGGCGCTGGTGGGAGAGATCAAGAAAGCATTTGAAAGTTGAAGACTGTTCATTTTACGGAAAAATATTGCAAAATTTCGACAAAAGTTGAGTTAAAGCCGGGCGTAGGCTCAAAATTCAAATAGGTTTGAGAAAGCGCGCGCAAATAAAGTCGTAAGTTGTCATGTAATGTCCGCAATGCGAGTCGCACAGTTTCTCTTCTACAGTAACTCAACGTATTTTTTTATAAATTTGTGCAGAAATTTCAACTGAAAAATGAAGAAATATTGAGGAAAAACCGGAGAAAAACAGAAAACAAATAGCAAAGACAATAAATTAATGAATTTCTTCAAAATTTTTCTGTCTTTCCCAAGTCGTATTGCTTTTCTGTCTTGCTCCACGTCCCCGTCCCCAAGTAACTTGTTCCAAGCCATTTCACTTCTTTCTCCACACACATAATTCTCTCCATTACCCCATCAAAATACTGCGTTCATCATAAACATTTTCTTTTCCGTTCCCTATTCATCCTCATCCTCCTCATCGTCATTTCCTCCAATTAGACACACGATCCCTATTACTTTTCCCCCCGCCTCTGTCATTTTTCTTTCGGTGCCGAACAATAACAATCAAACATATTCCTCCTCCCTTTTTTTCCGAAAACGACCTTCAGCCCACTTCATTTTACCGCAAAAATCGGCAAGTGCAGGAGGAGGAATTACCTCTATATTTTTGAGTTTAGAGTTCTATCTCAGGTAATTCTCGAGAGAGGTTTGGGGCCGATCTGAGGAGGGGTGGGTGTTACTTGTTTGGGAGTTACCCAGTCCAAATGGGAGTTACCCAAGCAATATGGGAGTCATGAACCGATGGGATCCTCCCAAAAGGGACGGGTAACTCCCGTTTTCGACGGGTAACTCCCTGAGAATTACCCGAGATGAAGTTTCAGAGAATCTCATAAACATGTCTTGTTGCCAAATCTTTTTGTACTCCGAATATTTCGCATGAACAGTACATGAATAGTGAATTCTTCTCGTTGAATATGTTCGAACGACTTTTTTAAAAAATCTCGAAAATTTTTTGACCGATGTCAAAAGTCACACACTCATGTAAGGAATAGAGATGCCTAACTTTCTCAACATGATTTTTAAGCTATCGAAGTTCATGGTCCATTAATGGTGTGTTTCCTAACCCATTTAACATGGTGGCCTAACTTTTGCAAGTAGATTTTTTCAGGTCACCAGTTTTTATGACCTAGAAATGATCTCATATTTACCTGGTGTATTTTAGGTTGTTGAACATACTAGCCTAACTTTTTCTTAACTTTTTCAAAATGACTTTTTAGGCCACCAACTTTTATGGCCTTAAAATGGCCTGGTATGTGCCCGATCTGTTTTTTATGCCACTTCAACATGGTGGCCTAACATTTGTAAGTTGAATTTTCCAAGTCACCAACATTTATGACCTAGAAATGACATGATATTAACCTGATCTGTTTTCTAGGTCATTTTAACATGGTGGCCTAACTTTTGCATGTTGTGTTTTCTAGGCCATTATGGTAATTGTCCTAGATAACATACCAAAAAATATCAGACCTTCATTAGGCATTCAACATGATTACCTGGAAAGCTCAGCTTGTGAATGTTAGCCCATCATGTTAAAATGACCTTAAAAACTCACTTGAAGAATTTCAGGTCACTTCTAGGTCATAAAACGTGGTGGCCTAGAAAACTCAGCTTGCAAAAGTTAGGCCATTATTTAAAAATTTCTTTTGAAAAACACACACTGCGCATGTGCGCAGAAAAGTTTATCTATCCAGAATCCTTTTTTTCAAAAATCCAAAAATTTCCATTCTTTTGAGAATTCCCTTCCAACCACATTTTGTTCCTGATCTCTCTCTTCTTTCCTATTTTATCCATCTCATCAGAGTGAATAAACACTCTGTTATCATGAAAGTCTAACCACTCGACTTGTTTGGACTCCCAACCTCTCCTCTTTCCAACCTTCTGTCACAACATTCACCTACAATTTTATTTGCTCTTCCCCGATTTGTTTATTTGACCAAACTGTACGATTCTCTGACCCATTGAGGCTCCTCATTTTGACTTTTTGCCGTTCAATTCGGTTATAAATTCTGGATAAAACTAATTTTCATGAACTTCAATCTCCCAAATTTGGTTTTGAAAATCTAAAATCAGGTCGCGGAAATTTTGTTGGGATTTACCAAAATCGTCCATGTATGGTTATAGATCAAACACTTTGAATCAAAACCCAGAACCCCTGGAACCACATAAATCAAACAAACCTTTTTTTTTGAACAAAGTTGATTTCTCCACTCATTTCCCACTCATCAAACCAGTTCTCTTCCACCCTAAATACTACTTTTCCTCCTCTTTTTCGACTATTCTCGATTTTGTGGCCGTGTAAACAAAACACCTGTAGAAGTCTGTCCGCCTTTTTTGGCGGAAATACTGTCGGTTTTTTCAAACTTTTGTTGCGAAATTCTTGACTTTCGAAGTTTGAGTGTATTAGGGATAATCGAGGATGACTCACAGTAGAAGAATATTTGGAACCTTGCCCTAGAAAAATTTCAAAAGTCGAAAATTCGAGAAAAATAGGCTATCAGACTAGAATAATATCTGAAAATCATATCACAACGCTGAGACATAAAATCTGCTTTAAACAATTTTTTTTGATTTTATGCAAATAATTTTTTTTTAATTTCGAAATATCTTCAAATCATTTATTTCCTGTTGATTTTTTGGAATTTCGGATAGTTCGCTTTCAATTTTTGGATACCGTAATAAAAGAGCCCCTAACTTTTAAATTTGAGCCAATTTATCTCGGTTCCCATAAAACGTATAAAAAAGTAGTCAACTGATAAAATATTGCTGTTATCATGACAAAGGTTCTGTCAGTTGACAACTTTTTGATATCTCTCGTATGAACCGAGATAAATTCGCTCAAATTTGACAGTGTGAGGGCCCTTCTATTACAGGTTAAACACTATCACACGAGTGGATGTAATTTTGAATTTCAAAGTTCACAAAACAGAAAAATTCATTCTTGGATCTTAGCTCACAAAACTTCCATTTTCAAAATTTACCATTTCAATAAAATCGGTATTTTTCTATGAAGAAAACTAGTCAAAGTACAAAACAATCCGACCTTGACTGCTTTCCTTATCTACAAAATCCAAGTCGAATTCCCGACAAAAAGTCGTTCACTTTTTTACTACCCCCCAAGGCTTCGGAACCCAGAATGACCCCTAAAGAAATACAATGTGAATTCGAGAGATCTATACATAGAGAAATAATCGGGAGAAGATCCGATGCAATCAGTCTCGTCTCTCTGATTCCTCCACTATCTCCCTCAATTCGACCGCTTCGTGTGGCCGGATGAATGGACATTGCGTCTATCCAGCCAGCAACAGCGGTTCGAACTGATTACACACCTCCATCTCGTACTTCCTGCGTCTTCTTTTATAGTGTCTGTCGTCTCTCTAATTTTCATGCTCTCTTGCATAAGGCATCATCTACCTTTTCATCACTTCGCCCTGCTGTGATTCCCTCTCGTTCTCTTATCACTCTTCTCTATTTCTACATGATTCCTTCTTTCCTCTTTTTCTTCTGGATGAGACCATTTTTGGGTGGTTGGTGGCAACAAAATAAATATCTAAATTTGCATTCAATTTGAATATTTTTCCATTCCTTTCTTTCTCTTTTATTTCAGTTACAATTGCCTTTCTGTAGTCACCGGACACCTTCCCATCCCCTATTCGAAATCCGATACTTTGTCTTCCTCTTCTCGACTTTTTGTCCTCTCTTCATCATCTAATAAACAAAATGAACATCCTGGAGAGAGCAGCTTTTATCCTTTCATCTCTCCCCAACTGACCACAAATTGTCCATTTCCCATCATCGTAAAAAAAGAGAAAAGAGTTTTCTTGGCAAAGACTTCCACATATTGTGGGCTGTACTAACTAGTCGTGCACTCTACCTTTTCTTTTTTTCAGCCGCTTTTTGCTCTGTCTGGACTTCTCGAGTTTTTTTAACTATAAATTGGCTCAAATTAAATTTTGTCGTGTTTCATTTTATAATTCGTGAGGTTTGATTTGATTCTCCTACAAAAATCTTCTGACAAGATTTTCTTCTACAAACCTTCGGACCAAAGTTTTAGATCTCCAGTCAGGAAAGTTCTAGATACCATTAACAAATACTAATAAAACCTACAAAAATGAGACCAAAGTGTAAAATGTGAGAAAAACCCAAGAACGAAGAGGAGAGAGGCGACAGACGGATGCATATTAAATGAGTTCAACGGGCCGTAAATACTGCTTTTCGCGCCTAGCAACCTTCACAGAGTTCTCTGAACTCCTTTTCTGGAGGAAGCCTAGTTCTTCTTTTTGTATCCTGAAGATTCTTACAATTAATATCAGTTTAGAGTGGAATAGAATAAGTTTTTTTTTGTAAGGTTTTGAATCACTCTGAAATTCCAACCAGATTTTTAAAGTTGATATTTTGATCCCAGGTATTGGCAATTTGTTTCCAATAGTTTTCTCCAGTTTTCCACAAAGTTTCACCCAGATTCGTTCATCCCCAGAGTTTTCGCGAGGTTTTTCGTTTTTCTAAAGGTTTTGCGGGGGGTTTTTGCCTCACCTGAAAAACTTCATAAATGTTGATTTAAACATATTTTCTTCTGTTTCTCTGTTTTTATATCTTGGTTAATATGAACTTATGGTAATTGGATGCTGGAAAAATTTGATACAATATTTGCTCCGTTCTTAAAAATTTACTAGAAATTCCAAATTTAACTTTTTTATAAAATCTGTTTAATCTAAAAATATTATAGATAATCGTTTTAATGAAAAAAAAATCTTCCTGTTTCATTACTTTTGTTAATGAAAGTTCGAATTTACGTCGATTAAAAAAAACTAGGACCTGGAAAATTTCGCGGGCGCACTTGGGTTCAGGCGAGGGGGTCAGAAAAAGCAGCAAACTCGTAGGCCAGAAGAAATTTAATAATTTTAAAATGAACGCGGGTTTGAACTAGATCATGATCTATTTCTTAAAAATCAACGGGTTGCAACGCGCGTATTCTCGCTCATCGTTTAAAACTGGGATACTCAGCCAACGAAGTTCGGCAGCGAATTGAGAATTTTTGAAAAATTTACTGGGGCGCGCTTTCTGACCCCCTCGCTTGAACCCGCGGGCTCCGTGTCGATTTACGGGGTCTCGCCCAAAAATCACTACAGTATGAAACGAAATTTCTGTGAATTTAGTGGGATTTTATGGACAAAATTTAGATTTCTTGGTATGAAAATGATCGCTAGCATCTCTAGAATCTGTTTTTCATCGAAAAAATGAACTTAATTGCGAAAGTAGCTCGAACGAGGCGAAAGTATTTATTTTTAGTAAATATTATTTTTTTTTTAGTAAATATTACATTTTTGCCGCGCTCTCGTAGATAAAAAAAGCGAAGATTTTCAAATTCTCAGGTCCCAGTTTTTTTTTTAAATTCGACAATAGCTTCGAAAACTGTAAAAACTCCTTTTTTAATTTTTTTTTCCAGAATTTCGATTTAACGACATCACGAACTTCGTTTAATTTTATGAACCAGACAAAAAACCACATTTTGTGAAGATAGAATACTTTTAAACTCTGAAGAATGGACTCATTCGAGTGGTCTGAAACGTTTTTAATTTTGTTAGATGTACCTATTTTCTCGAATAGAAGCCTAACATGTAATAGAAGGGCTCCCTGACCGTCAACTTTGAGATCAATTATTTCGGTTCCTTCAGAAAATATCAAAACTCTATCAACTGATAAAATATTGGTGAATTGAGCTCAAAATGTCCTTATATGGTATGCTCTACAAAAGCAAATACGGTAGATTTGCAATCTGAACTACTAAAAAATTTGCCACCCACATTTTCCAAACTCCCATATCTCATATCTCAATTTTGCTTTAACACCACTCTGTGAACCAATACACATCAGTCCTCCAATCCATCAATCAAAGAAATAAGTTTTCTGTACATCATCCTAATCACTTCTTGGTGCACCTCATCCATCTTCTTCTTCCTCATTTCTTCCGTTCCGTTCTATATTTCCCCATTTCCTAACTAATTCAGTGCCTCACTTCCCGAAATCAAAACTTTCGAAAATTCATTGAAACACCTGGTAGTTTGTGTTCCTCAGCGGCCAAAACCAACCTCCTCTCACACAGAAACCACACGACAAAGTGAGAAGAGGACACATGTTAGCGATTTTGAAGTGGTGAGGGATGTTTAGGATTTAGGAGGTGGGAGGAGGAGGAGGAGGAGGTGACACATCTGGTTTCGAGATTTCGAAATTATCCAGAAAACCGAGGGCAGGTGGGAAGCAGGGTAGTTTTAAAGCACAGCTTTTTTAAACACTGATTTGACAAAAAACTATCAAGTTTCTGGAATGTGTTGAATCTAGAAATGTAAGATTTGCGTCCGACCGAATTGGACCCTCGGCGGTTGGGCTCTAGAAAAAACAAAATGTACCGTATAAACTTTAATAGAAGATCACTCTATGCTTTCACTTTGAGCTCAATTATCTCAATTTCTATAAGAGGTATCAAAAAAGTCTGATATATGTCATAGAAACCGAGATAATTGAGCTCAACGTGCAAGCGGGTGGCATAATATTAGAGTGTTGTGTGTAGTTATATTTGGTACTACTCTCTACTTTGGAAGTTATCTTAAAAATACAAAAAAAATAACATTACTGTTTCATAGTTTTTATTACAACTCTTTGAAAGTTTGATAATGATGATTTGTTCTTTATGTCAGATTCAAACGTTCTTCTCATTCCTCTTCAAACCGAAAAGATTGTCAGACAGAAAAAAGTGTGAAATGGCAGGCAATATTAACCTCCTCTCCCGAATGTTTCTTCTCCCGTTTTTCCCTTTCTCTCTGCATCTCTCCATCTCTAGCCGTTTTGTTCATTTTGTTCATTGAAATTGTTGCCATTTCATTCGCTTTTTTTTCTCCCGTTTTCCTCTTGCCTTTGTGTTTGTTGAATTTTTGAGCAAAAGTGGGAGGTTCGCTCGTTTTTTCAGAAAAGAACAGGCATTAGGCAAAACGGATAATCAAACTCAAACCAGTAATCTGAATCGGACATTATTGAAATTATTTCCATTCCTTCCTTTTAGTTTTTTTTTGAAAATTTACAGTTTCCCAAATGTTATAAACATAGCAACATTTCTACTTATTATTCTGTTACCTTCTAGGACCGAATTTTTTATCATTAACACTCTTATTGTCTAAAAATGTAGTGTTCACTGAACATGATTCATTTATTTACCTTTCCAACGGAAACCAACCATGTTGTTCTCTTCCCACGATATACAAGTTCTCATATTTTTATAGCTGGACAATGACTCAAAAATTAGTTGGTTTTAGAACAGCGATTGTTTTTTCAGTTGTGGTTTAGTACGATACCAAAATTCACTGTTCCAAAAAAGTGATAAAATCCAGACTACTTTTTTAAGTGAATTTAATGACCGCACTATGTGGGCCAAATATTAGTATTTTGTAAAATACATTATGTGAACTGACAAGAACTGATTTTTGTGAACTGATTTTAGCTGTCCCATTTTACGTATAAGCTCTAATAGAAGCCCACCCCATACATGCATTTGAGCTCAATTATCTCGGTTCCTCCAAAGGATATCAAAAACATGTTCAACTGATAAATTATTTATCACATTATCATCAGTATTTTTGAGTTATCCGTTTTTTAATATCTGTTATAGCAACCAAGATAATTGAGCTCAAAGTGCTTTGGGTGGGTTTTCATTAGAGCAAATCCGGTGATTTAATGAAATGTTATATTCAAAGTTCTGTCTTTTAGCGGTTTTTGTAAATTGGGCGAGCTTTCACTGTTTCAAACAGTTGGTTTTACCAATATACATGCACAACTATGTTGACTTCATATTACCATTTAAACAATTATTTCAATTGAACTTATCTGCATTTAAAGACAGCTTTGTGCGGACCTGAAATTTTTTAAATTAGGAAAGGTCGATTTTAAACAAAATTTCCTGTTTCAAAACCCCAGTTTGAATTCTAAAAAACTAGTCATGCTTAATAAAATTACTCATAGTCAGATGATGATCTGACTCAGATCGTAGACCGTAAACACAGATAAACGACCTCTCTATGCACTTTGAGCTCAATTATCTCAATTCTGTAAGAGATAACAAGAATTTGTGAATTTGTAAAATGTTAGTCAAAATATCGCCAGTATTTTATTAATTGATAGACTTTTGATACCTCTCATAAGAACCGAGATAATTGAGTTCAAAGTGAACGTATGGGATGGGCTTCTATTGAAGCAAATATGGTAGTTTTATGAAATGTCTTTTCAAAGTTCTGACGTTACCAAATTACGTTTAAGTTATGATTTCCCTGTTTCAAATAGTTTATGACTGTCAAAAAAACATAACTATGCTGATCCCAAAATTACTAATTTAGCAGTCATTTTAATGAAGAAATTCGAGACAGCTTTGTGAAAAACTGTATTTTTAAATTTGAAAACGCGGAAGGCGATTTTTTGCGGACCTCAAAATCGATTCAGAAGTTCTGGATTGTTGAAGTTTCAGAGAATGTTTACTGTGAATCAAAATGTTCTATTTCAACACTTCCTTGAATTCTAAAAAAATAATAATGTCTCAATACCCACTTAGCTATTGATCAAGCTACTTCTAGACGTTCAAAACCTTCCAATACATTTCGTAATTGTGTTATTTTGTTGTAACACAGACACAGTGAGCTCATCCCCCCGCCGTCGACTCGACACTGACCATAATAGTATTAGTGCATCTCGTTCTATTTTCTCTATTCCCATTCTCTCGTCACTCTTTATTCTGTTCGTCGTCCCCCCATGATTTTCTGTTTATTTTTCGATCATTCCCTCTGCTTTCCCACACTGTCCTTTTCCTTCTTCTTCTTCTTCTTCTTGTTCTTTTCGTGTAGTTCTCTCTAGTACTTGGTATCTCTAATCAAATAACACTGACTACCTTTTTTATGTTTAATTTGTAACACCCTTTTTTTCGTTACTAGTTAGTTTATAGGATCTTGTGATTCCTTGTCAGTTCTGTCATGTAGTTCTTCAAGTACTTGACGCTTTTTTCTTCTATTTCCGACAGACTCATCAACCCAAACTGTATGACTTGGGAAGTTTTGGAATTGATGAGTCAGTCAGTTTTTACGAATTCTTCTATTTTTTTGGAGAAGAAAAGAGAAATATACGATTTTGGAGAGTTTTTTATAGTTGAAAGTTTTTTATAGCTAGCATTTTTATAGCTACAAAAAGGGAACTTTGAATAAAGTTTTAAAATTTTTTAAGTTTCTTCTTCTTCTTAAATATTCCACTGTTTCTCTAGTTTGATTTATTATTGGAAGCTTTCATCCTCCGATTTTTCTTGTATAAAATTCCTATTTTCGCAATTTTCAGGTAAGCCAAAAAAATCAAGCCGTCGTGCCGCATAATTTGCGTCCGTCACCCCAAACATTTCATTCATACAAAACTTCACGGAAACCTATAACTACAAGTATCATTCACACATCTAACATAAAAAATCATCATCATCAACAATGGAGGAGGCAAAAAATATGGCGTTGTTGTTCTTCATGGACCATCTAATGCAGAAAAATGGACGGAGAACAATCCATGATTTGAGTTGTCAATTCGGAGCACGCGGGTTTAGTGAGGAGATGAGAAATGCTGTTGGAACGACTCAAGAAGGATTGACCGAGTTTTTGCAGGTACTGAATTTTTAACAAATTGCGCTCTAAAGAGGTACCGTAAGACCTGTAATAGAAAAGCCTCCTGGCTTTTAACTTTTAACAAATGTATATCGGTTCCTGTTAAAGATATATAAAGTTGTCAACTGATAAAATGTTGGTGATATTATGATAAACATTTTGTCAGTTGACCACTTTTTGATATCTTTTCCAGGAAAGAGAGATATAGGGAATCAAAGTTGATAGTGTGGATAACGGTATTTTCAACCTTACCCTATTCCAGGGTCACCCATCACTCTTCACTGTGGAAGGAGACCAAGTAATCCTAAACGGTCACAACGATCTGAATGCCAAGAACAATCCACTCCTGCAATCCGGCGTCCGTAGTCGTAACTACGAGAAGGAAGCCGTCGATTTCTTCGTCACCAAACTCACCAAATTCGGCCCAGAACTACAAATCAAATCTCTATTGGGACATCGTTCTCAAGCTGCTCCAGAAGTTCGTCTAGTCTCGGGACGTCATCTGAAAGAGTTCTGCGAGTTTTTATCATCTCAAGTTGACTATTTTGTGGTCGAAGCTGATCGAGTCCGCCTGAAGAATATGCCGGAGCCGGATGAGAATGCAATCGAGATGGACGATGAAGGAAGACCATTAGCTGGAGTGAAGGCGAAACAAGCAGCCGTGGAATATCTGAAATCGGTGCTGGAACAAAATGAAGATCAGCCAATTCCATTGGATCTATTCTATCAAAATTTTTGTCAACGATTCTCTCATACCATTCGCCAGGACGTCGCAACTAATCCAAAAGAACTCCTTCAATTCCTTAAACTCAATCGAGGACTCTTTTTCATTAGATCCAATAAGGTATCTCTTGTGAAGAACCGTCCAAATGAAGAAGGATCGGAAAATGGATCAGATGAAGGAGATGAGACCAATAACAATGGAATGTTCCCTCTTGATCAAAGTGCTCTGACTCGGATCCATTTTGTGAAGGCTTTGAAACCAGCTCAAGATCTGATCGCAAGACTCTGGCAGGATATAAACAATATGGAAAAGAAGGTGGTTGGTCTGGATTTGAAGACTGTTACTGTTGGAGTCGATGGAGAGATCTTCCTGTCGTTAGGTGAGTTTTACTGTTACAGTATATTAGTAAGAGTTTGAATTTTAAAAATATGTGATATTATCTATGCGTCTATTTCTTTTTTCATATCAATTCTAGAACTAAAATTTCAGGAGTCATCGCCACCACCTCACAAATCGGAATTTTCGACTTGGCTTCCAGTGACGTCATCATTTTGGAGTCAGGATTCAAGGGGATACTGGAGAGTGAAAAAGTGGTCAAAGTGATTCATGACGCAAGACGAGTCGCCTCGCTTTTGGCACACAAATACGCAGTTCACATGAGAAATGTATTCGATACACAGGTATATATTTTTCTTGAACTGTTAAAAGACGAACTACTTTTAATCAATTTGTACTGTTTTATGTTTTCATTGAAACATTTTTTAGAGATTTCTTTGATTAACACAAAAAAATGTTCCAGGTCGCTCACTCTCTTCTCCAACATGACAAGTTCGGGAAGCCAGTCCACGAGATGCGTCCAATCACTTTTATAAACTTGCAACGTGTCTACTATCCGCAATCACTGATGCTCAGCGATGTGACTCCCAGAAAAATGAGTCAAAGTCCAAAGTGAGTCATTAAAAAAAATTACCGATTCCGTTATTATTCAAAAAAGAAAGACTGAATAAACGTGAATATAAGACGGATTGATTTTACGATCATAGATGCATGGAAGAGTTTTTAAAATTAACCAGCTGTCTGGTGCGTCGTCGGCGCAAATTAACCTACTTCGTCGGTTCGCTCCTCTGTCTTATTCTAAGGGTCACGTCAATTTATATTTTATTTCAACTTTTCCACGTGTTTGGACAGACTGACAGAGAGAGAAAGAGACGCAACTTCATTTATTTATTATAAGAATTATTTACTTGAATTTTTCTTTCAACACGAGTTTCGAGAAAGTCACACAATTTAGCCAGATACGCATCCAAAATCTTAAAATGAGCTTGATTTTCAGCTGGGGCGTCCGACCAATCACCGAAGAGTTCCAATTGACGATTGTCGAGGAAGCTCATTGTCTTCTTTCTGCTCTTTATCAAGCACTTTCCAATTTGATTCCGGTGCATTTACGTGGTCTTTTCGAAGACAAATGCATCGAGGTAAACCATCCGGAGGTTCGGTTTTGTTTTTTTTTGTTCAAATATCACTATTTCTGTTTTTTCTGTTTCGCACACCTTATGAGTTTTTTTTCGGATGAGCTTCTATTTTTCAAAATCCTTCTCAGGAAATTACCTGAAATTGAAATCGCCAGAGCATTTTTTAAGAAGCAAGGTAATGTCTGCAATACCCGAGTAGACGAACTGCACTAGTTGAACTGCACGAATTTCTGTTAGTGGGTGCGCTTCTATGTTTTTAAGTTTTTAAATATATGGTACCTTATCAAATCAAGTCTTTAAATATATGGTACCTTATCAAATCAGTGATAAATCTCCGTTTTCCCGTGAAGCCAGTTGGGCTAATTATGGACTCTCCTATGTTTCCGTAAAAATTTATCCTGAATCGACACTGTTATGCTTTCACACGCATCCAGAAATGATTACCCACTACCCGTCCCTTTTCCGATTAAGTTTGACTATTCGATGAAACAGATAAATTATGATTTCAACCTAAAAACAATCACTCCCCTTCCTTCAAAATCCAATATTTCAGGTCCTCCTCGCCTCTCCAAACCGTCCTCCACCCCAACCATTCATCTCATCTCCATATCGTGCCTCAACTCGCCGTGACGCCAGAAACGGCGGAACCATTATGCAATCATTTTCTCCAGCTCCATACGCCGCTGCTCCGCGTCCTCAAATGTCGGACGCATGCACTCAAACATTCTCGACGGGCGACATCGAAGTGCTCAATGTTTTCTACGAGTAATCATATGATAATCAATAATTTCTTTGACAACAAAAAACATCATCCCCTTTTTCTTTTTCTGCTCCTTCTCATCCTGTGCAATAGTGCACAGTTCTCTATCTATTTTCTCCCAAAATCTTCACAGCTTTCAGTTTTCCAAAACCTCCCTTCTCTATCGGTGTATCCCCAGTTATATCTATTTTATTTGGTTTATTTTTCAAAGTGTTCTGTTAAAATGAAGTTTTATTTCACACCAAAACAGAGGAGTGTTCGTCAATAATTTCCAAGCATTTCATTATAACAAGACTTTATGAAATCCTAATAACTTATCAGTTTCACATCTAAAACATCAAAAATGATGGTGGTACTATAGATGTGAACTCGTATGAATAAGAACTGGCGAAATAAAACTGGTGAAATGAGAACAGATACAAATGAGAACTCGGGAAATGGTTCAAATTTGAACTTCGATTTACAGTTTTTTGAGAAAAATCTTTACGATCTATCTCGTTCTCAAACGTCCAAAATTTTCAAAAAAAATTTTCTTGGCATGTTTTCAGCTAGTTTCTGAGTTATCATTTATGCGCAACAGTGAAAAATTAGGTTTTTCGGCATTTAAAAATTCTGGGTGGCAAATTTTCATTTCAAAATGAGTAACAATTACGAAGGGGGTAAAAACACACAAAATGAGCCTAAAAGCGTCAAATTTGGTTAAGAATTGAAGGATTAAATACATTCTTTAGAAAATCAACTGAAAAAGTCAATTTTTCAAGGTTTTTGGGGATCTATTAAAATACCGTCCATTATAAATTTTTTTAATTAAGTAACTTTTGTGCAGAATTTTCTCGCGAACATTTTGATATACATTATTTTTGAAAACGCTCGCAAATGAGGGAGGAGATAGGTTTTGAATCACTCAGATTCGGATCAGATTACTGTAGATTTGGCTAAAATTTGCTTTTTTTTTCCAAAATTCTTTGCTGATTTATTGGGCGTGTTATTTTTGGCGTGAAATTGTTAGCTTGGATTGCCGTGGAATGACCTAGAAAGGGAAGAATTGAGGGAAAAAGTGAAGCCTAGACTCTCAAATCCATCAATATGTTGGTTCACGAACAAATTAATTTCTTTTGAACTTTTTGAATTTTGCTTTTTTATCGATGCACGAGAAACGCGTCAACAATCACCACATGTGCTCTTTTCGTGAAATATTCACCGTGTAACACTCAAGTACCCAATCAATAGATTGGGATCACAGAAAAAAAAGTTGCGCAATTTAGAGTCAACACCAGGAAGCATGCAGTCCATCAGTCACACACTTGGAGAATGTGTCTATATTGTTATCGTATAACCTGTAATAGAAGGACGTCTCAACTTTGAATCACTTTGATTCGGTTTCAAATAAATATATCAAGAAATGATGCTTACTAACAAAATGTAGTGCCGTGGATTGGACAAAAACTTGAGAACCGATATCAACCTGATTTGTAAAAAAAATGAATAAAAAATAGGCTTTAAAATTACGCACTTTAGACACAGAGGGTATTACATCTTCGTTGAACTGTTGCAGAAAATCCTAAAATCAAGAGCCAAAAGATCAAACATTGCGTCGATTGAAACTCTATGAAATCGGAATTTGTCTTCGAGACGGCAAGTGGACACTCTAAACGTTGACGGGTTTCAAAAGATTATGCAGTCATAATTTTTGCCCCGAGACTAAAAAACATAGAAACCCACTGAAACAATGTATAAGGGACAATGCAATTGTCTACAGTATCGGCTAAAAATCTGTAAATGTTCCCTTTTCAAACTCAAAGTAGCAAACGTTTGAAGCTTAAAAATATAGTAGACATTGTTGAAGTCGAAAAAAATGTGTATCCTTCAAATGTCGGATAGTTCCTCACCAGAAATTTTGCTCGTACCATCTATTAAAAGTCTTTAACTGCAGTTTCTCATAAATTATTTGGGAAACCGGCATATTTTTTTAATTCGTGAGCATGGTCACTGTTTCCTGAACTGTAGATGAAACCATGACAATTTTCATGACAGTATGTTGTAGTCTGAAGAGTCCGAAGCCTTTCATTGAGCTATCCGTTGTTTTCTGCATGAAACTTTGTGTTCTTCAAATTCGTTGTTTCACAAATTCTTACAGTAAAGACTTTCTTGAAATGGATCTAAAATCCACCCATTCAGAGATCAGAAGACTTCTTTTTTTCAGCAAAAACAACAATTTCTCTCAATTTTCTTTTTTGCTCCATTGAATTTTGAAGTGCACCCCTGACACAATAGCAGAACAACTGAAAATGGAACGAAGGAGCAAACGAAAAGAAAAAAAACGAGGTGGAGAAGCAAGAAAAACGAAAACGTAAAGAATTCAGAAGCAGCGGAACTCTCTGCTCCTCCGACGTCTTCTTCTCTCTTCTGGAGCACTTATTCAAACAAAAAAAGTTGTCAACCAGCGCCTAAAAAACTTCAAAATCTCCCCCCAAACCTCTTCAAAATTCAAATTTCTTCCTTCTGCTTCTTCTTCTTCTTCTTCTGGGAGCACCGCAGCCGTGTTTTCACATCGTCGCACATCCTTTTCTCTTTTTACCCTTCGACAGAAATTTCTCCTTCTTCTTTTTTTACCTATTGACACGCAAAGTTTCTTTCAGCTCTTCTTTTTTCATCTTTTGACAGAAAAATATTTCATGTTATTTTCATATCCATCAAGTTTTTCATCTTTTCAGCATGGAGAAAAGGAGTTTTCTAGCTACTAACCACTAATTTTACTTTTTTCTGTTCCGGTTGGGTATCCGTTTTTAGAGAAAAAAACATTTTGTTCAATTCGCTGTTTCCGGTGAACTTTTCAAAGTAACTTTTGAGGTTTTCTGTTCGGTTCGTTGGATACTAACAAATTTTTTAAAAACCGTATGTTGAATTCACCGATTGCACAAATTCCGAATTCCAAATTCATATTTTTTCTAATTCAGAATTTTCATATACGGGATCGGGTTTTTAATTCAGTGTTACGCTGTCAATGGACATACATCAAAATAAATATGTCGTAGAAATTGCAAAAACCCACATTCCCTATAATAAACTGGCACATCAGAGCTCTTACCGTAAACGCTCTAATAGAAGCTCACCTACTCGCACTTTGAGTTGAATTATTAATTTTTTGAAATTTCTAATTGTAAAATTGGAAAACCAAAGGTTAGGCATAAGCTAAATACCAGAGAAAACTATAATTTTAATTTTTTGGAAAAAAATACTGTTTCCCAAATTTTGTAAGTTTAGCAAAATGTCTACTCATCATTCTGTTCTTGGTATTCATGAAGGTAATTATTAGGATTTTGAATTTTTGCATATTCTTAGCATTTAACTGTTTTTAGCCGAATTAGCTCTATCCACCTGTTTGATCTAAATTATCCCGGTTGCCAGGAAAGATATAAAACTAAGTCAACTGATAAAATGTTAATCATGATATTATTAACAGCTTATCAGTTGACAGATTTTTGATAGAAAAACCGATATAATTGCGATTATAATGCACATGGATGGTGAGCTTATATGAGAGCAAATACGATATGTCGAATTCATAAAATGCATAAATTCCAAATTCCGAATTTAAATTTTTTTCTATTTCAAAAGTTTAACATTCGATGTCGGATTTTAAATCCAGTGTTCTCTTTTCATGAGCCTCAAAATAAATATGTCATAAAAATTGCAAAAGAACTCGCATTCCCTCTAATAGACTGCCATGGCAGAACTTTTACATTAATTTTCGCCTCGATTCATAGCAGACGTAACGATTTCAGTCCAAAACTTCATCAACCAGAAAAAAACCCCATCGTTTCATCACGAATACTGCAAAACCTGTATTAAAAGGGCCGGCTCGGCCCTTCTATTGGTCCAAGTTACCTGCGGAGGACCTTTCGATTACAGGGGCCCTTCAATTAGAGGGGACCTTTCTATTTTTTCTGTAATTTTCCTCATCAATTTAAAAATAGTGTTTCAGCATTTCTGTGAAATCGTGGAACGTCGATTTTTTATTCAATTCTTGAGGAATATTATAATCACAAGCAGCTAAACTTTGAGGGAGCCTTTTTATTACATGGTTCTTCCATTTTTCGAATCATTCTCGTAAGGCCCTTCTAATACAGGTTTTACAGTAATCTCTTTCTATGTTTACATGCTAGTTAATTAATATTTAGAAAAGCTCTGAAATTCTTCTTTACCACTTCAATTTCAGCTCATTTCTGCTAAAAATTTCCGATATGATTTTTTGTTTCGGTATGCCATAACTAAATGAAACGTCTTAAGTGATCCTGAAAGCCTTAGTAGTTCATCAGATCAATGAAAAAGTCATATCACTAAAACATAGTTGTCGACCTTTCCTCCAAAATCTTCCTGAAAATTGTTGAACAGAAGTACAAGTTGAAAGTTGAAAGATGTCTCTTATTCTTCCTTCTGATCTACTCTTCTCTTCCATTCCCATTCATGCTCATTCAACTGCCGCAAATGGGATTGACGGGAGCGAGAAGACACGGGCGATTGTTCGCTTATTCTTCTTCCCGGGACCCTGTTTTGTGTCATGTATGAGAAGGTGTCACTGGTTTGAGGAGACTCCCAGTATGTACTTGAGATGATGCTCAAGTACGACACAATCCCCACTTTGAGTGAACCTTTTTCTGTTTCTACAGAGCACTTTTTGTCTAGGTCGGGAAAGAAAGTCAGCGGATTTTTTTTCGCTAGTTTTTTGGTGTGGTATTTTTGGGTCCTTCAAAGACGATTCATTCGAAGAATTATTGATAATCTATCAGCGTCTTCTTTCTGCATCATTAGAAACTTTTTTTTTTTGGTTCACTCAGAAATCTATCACTATATTATTGAAGCTTTGCCTGATCTGTTTTATTGTCGAACTAAAAATACTGGGACCTGAAAAATTTCGCGGACGGCTTCCGTGTTTATTTACGGAGCCTCGCCCAAAAATCACTACAGTATTAAACAAAAATATTACTATAAATTTTGTAGAATTTTGT